AACGACAGTTTCTCAGAATTATGGAAATCTCTGGCAATGTCGCTTTCAGAAAATAGCACGGCACGAAAATATGAAAACGGTTGACGAACGAAGGGGAAAGCATTACGCGCACAAGGGTTTCGCGAATGCCGCTGGTGATAAATAGCGAAAGATTTGCAAAATATATCGTGGCAGTAAGACCCGGCTCATATATGGCGGAAGAGGTTTTAGAAGAACGTATATCGCACGTTCTAGAAGAAAATGGCGAACCGTTTGTGTCCTCGAACATTGCCAAGATATTCGCCAAGTTGCTCCGAATGCTTGTCAAGGGATGACTCGCAAAAAAGACGTCACTCTGTCTTGTGTTAAATTCGAGTTTTCGCATTGAATTCGGTTGTATTACGTTTCGAAGCTTTATTTCACTTGAAGAAAGATCTCATTTGATTACTTCTTCCTAAATCATATAAACTTGCACGCACATTTATTCTATAATAAATTGTATAATAATAAGATAATAACTATTCATTTCTTTAGGATTACATGATTTACAAATCATTCATACATTAAGGAAAAAATTTACTAAATCTTAATATACATATTTTTTTCAATAATTAAAACTAAACATTTATTTACAGATTATGAATATTTATTCAATAAGAAAAAATAATAAAAAGTTAAATCAATGGTTCTTGTACTAAATAAATATGTGTTTACATTTAATATATAGTTAGTACTATTCAAACAAATATATATTAACATGTATTACATTTTTTTCGGTGTACATCACACACATTTGATAAATTAATAGAAGAATCCATGGGCGATCCAGGATTTTAATCAGGACGGAAGGCAAAAGTTTATATCTTCACACAAAACTTATTAAAATATTTATATTAAAGTCAGTCTCTTCGAGGATCTTTAGTGAATTTTCTTACGAATAACGCGCGAGCCACGCATTGGCCAATGAGCGTTTAACTTTTCGTCGTAAAAATGATTTTCATAATTTAATTGTTTTACTTTGACAAAATTTAGGGAAAGGAAGCAAGTGCCCATGGAAGAATCTATTATGATAATGAAGTGTCATCGAAACGAATACTCTGTATATGATGCTGCGAGGAAAGGTATTATCGTCTCGCGATTCCTCCTTGTTTCTTATGCCGGCGAATTCTCCGTTGTGCGTCGAGAGGATCGAAAAGACGCGAATCTCCTCACGCGCGATTATCTTTTATTCGGCGTTCGCTGACACGGGTTTTACCATTGATAATAACTGACGCCGGTCGCGCCGGTACCGAGAGACGCGAAATTAAAAAGGAACACGAGAAGCGTCTTTAATCTCCCGGTCTATAAAGAGCCTTCTACACAGGGACGATCGCCAAGGATCGCAGAGCAGCAGAAGGCGGGAGGTGGTAAGAAAGGATTTCGCGCGGTTCGGCAGCAGCCGCTACGTTTCGAAGCCATCGGCAGAAAGGAAATCGGCTTACCGAGCAAAAATATACTGATATTTATGAGGGTCGCGACATCGGGGCTAATCTTCGGGAGATAATAATTTATCGGCTACCGCCGGTACCAAGGAGTTGTATTTTGACTGAAATCCCTTAGTCGCCCGCTCCAACAGCGATCATACGAACGTCTTTACGCGTCGGTCTACTTCTAAACCCACCCAACGCCAGTCTACGATTCCCTGGACAGTGACGTCCAACCGTCTCCTGAATACAGCTTTCGCAATGTAAGAAGCAAAACGAGCTCGAAAGTTCCCTCATTCGGAAGTAGACTCGGTCATATTATAAATGATGAATATTATAAACTTTCTTCAATTTTTTTATAGATAACTGCATAAATCTGTTCTCAATATGGTATAACATTCGGTTTTGCCAGAAACAGGGGAATTAAAATTTTTAATACTACGCAATGTGAATGTAGAAATACAATTATATAATTTTTTAATACATTACATCCAACGTCTAGACATATCAAGATAAAAGCTTTTCCCATGAATTAAATCATGCGCAGGTTTTAAGTCGGATATCGCGCTGCTTTTGCAATAACGTGTTTTATTTCAATCAACTTTAAAGACCTAGCTGACAATATATCACATTGTGATGGGAAAAGTAAAAGTGAAGAAAAATTCCACATGTCAGCGTCGATGATACATGTTGATAATCTTCTTGTGCTATATTATACACGATCAGACACTAAAGTAATAAGACTGGTTTTTTCCTCTTATATTAGCAATCCTGCAGCCTATTACTACTGACTATTTTTTACTTTGGTTCTTTCTCTATTTTAATTCCAACTAACGTGGGACTGTGTTGTTTCACTTTGGACAGCAGCTTAAAACGTTAAGACGTTTTGTGTTGCTTGTAACGAAAATGAAATATTGTATAGCATTAATATAAAAAAATGGTTGCTAATAATATGTAACATCAATATAAAAAATAATCAGCTAGCTCTTTGAAATCAACTAAAATATGACTTGTTATTGCAAAAGCAGTAATGTGATCTGACTTAAAATCTATGCACGATTTAATTCACAGGAGAAGTTTTCTCTCTATTAATTTATCAAATTATGTACGAATAATTTGTAAATCATACAATCACAAAAACATAAATAGTTATAATTATATTATCCATATATTACATAATTGTCAAGATAAAAGTAATAGAAATCTATTTTTTTTGGTGTGTAAACCTCGGTAAATTTGCACGTTAAGGTGTGTTTGTGTTGTTTGTAACAAAAATGGAATATCGCATAATATTGCACAGCAATATGTTATCTTTTTTGTGTGAAACTGCAAACTCGGCAATAATGCTACGGCAATAACGTCAAAAAAGATTGTTGAAGCTTTCCATTCGTTGCAGAAAAAAGGTGATACATCAATGTGTGATTCCAGTATGCGTTATTCGATCAGAAGTCACCTTGCTACATATACAAAAGCAAATCGTGCGATGTGGAAATACGGATGGAATAATAATGTGGTCCGAGCTTCTCTCAGTGATACATCGACTGACGTTTCGTTATTTACGAGGCGATCCCTTTAATCCACCCTAGGAGTGACGAATTGTATCAGTAAAGACTCCAAAAAATCTGTCGGATACATCAATCTCGTGCAGTATGCATGAATCACAAATCAAAACTGTTTCAAAGTAAAAGAGTAACTATGAAGCAGTAGTTATCTCTTACGCGGAAAATGATAGTGAAAGAAAACCTATAAAGATACTTGTAATACGGCATGTAAGAAGAAAATGTTCATATCTGGATATCTCAGTTCAATATTTTTACAAATAGCTTTAAGGACGATCCAGAAATCGTGCACAACATTAACGATACTATAACAACTGGCAATCGTATGGACCATTGACGATACTGCTTTTCCAGGATATATCTTGCGTCATCTCGAATTGGTATGCGACACGGTCTTTCAACAATACGACAATTTATATGGATTTGGGAGAGTCTTCAACGTCCTTTTGGATCCACTGCCTTGAGTTTTACTTTCCACGGCATTCAGTAGCATCTCCCTTTCTCCCTTTTTTCTCTCTTTCTCCCTTTCTCTTTCGCATTTATTCTTCCTTTTCTCCCCTCACGGCTCACCCTCTCGCTTCCATCCCGCGGATCGCTCCGCCGGGCATCAGCGAGGTTTTATCCCGCATTCAGGATTCAGGGTCTGGCGTCATCTCTCATGGATGGATCGGCAATCCTCTTTCGCCCCGCGCCCCTCCGCGCACTTACCTTCTGCCGCCTTGGTTGTAGCACCCCTTCGACAGTGCCTATTCGCCCACTCGATGGGAGATTACGCCGCGTCTGAATTCACGCATTCACACAAAGTGCATTGCATCGTGCCGACGCGTAATCGTGTGCGGTTAACCCTTCACAGTTTAACGCAATGTCCATTGCCGCGTGTTAATTATGCACATAGAAAAGATGTACCAATTTAGGATACAAAGTGCGAACAAAGAGATTCACAGTTATTGTACAACGTAGGTATATCTTGTTATTGGAAATGATTGAAAGTTTATTTTTAATATTTATAGATTTTTTAACACTCCTGAAATGTAAATCTAAATTCGCTATTTTTGTCTCGAATACTTACACTCGCGAACAGTTCGCAACGTAATTGTAACGGATATCGTAGCAATTTAAAATGATGACAATTACCTGTTGGACCGAGGACCAACGAACGATTCAGTTGAAATCGTCAAAGTCCCTTTCGTTATTTTGTCCGTCCTGGTTCTCCGGCGAACATATTGGCGTAATACATTATTTAAGCGTCGTTTTATTCGGCGAGATAGCCTTTAGTGTGCCCAGACGTGCACTTTCGCGACGTGTAACGATTTTGCAAACTGCTCTTCTATGCTAATATCGATAAGGTGGAAAGACTGCGACCGTATGGCCGCCTGGGGATTTTCCTTCTTCATCGAAAATCGTTCTTTTTGACATTGGTTCTCAATCATTTCTGAATTGATCTTTCTATGTACTGTTCTGGAATTCCAAAATTTCTTTCACACCTGTTGAAATTATGATAGGTAAAAAGTGAAATGGATTAAAATCAATCGATATCTCTATTTAGCATACAAATTAAAGATGTAATGCGTTTTTATTCATATATTATATTTACATTGAATGATACAGCATCCTCCGATTGAGGATCACTGTCAGATGAGCGCAGTTTCCAGTGACTGCCAAGAGATGGCAGAACCTGTGCCATAAACTTCTCTTTGATGCTGCATTTTAAAGTCCGAATTTTATTTGAAGATTATGCAAATTGATGTTTCGCTGCTTTGTAGAAATGTCTACATATATACATACATAGATGTGATATTATTATAAAATTTAACAGAATTATCTGCAAAATATAACAATTGAACAAAATTGCTACATCATTTCTAATATTTTTGACAAATTTGTAGTTTTTACTTATTGTATAGATTATTGTATAGTTTATTTTTATATAAATTAATATAACGCCTTGAATATAATATTAATTTACAATTTGTGTAATAAGCGGTATATTCGTGATCGTTTGCGAAGTTTTATTTTTACGACAAACGTCAGAACAAATAAAAATAACATAGCTATATTTTTCTTCTAGATTCAATCGTTTCGTTGTGATGTCAGATCCATAACAGGGGCGACGTACAAAGGGATGCTGAAACGTGAGTAGAAATACATGTCTCAGTTCGGTATACGAGGACAAATGTGATATAATGTTACCTCTCTGTGACAATGCACAATACACGCATTTTTATACACGGTTGAGGAAGTTTCTTTTATCGTGCGCAAAGGTGGTATCTGTCTAAATCCGAAACTCTTGCATGAGTTTCAAATAAATTAGATACGTGTATACAAGTACACAATAAAGATCGTCGTAGTGTCTCCGTTATTATTTCTGCCGAGCGGTCCAATTAATGATTATGCGAAAGACAAAAGCGCTTTAATGTATAATACGCACGCACATACATTCGTATATATTACGGAAAAAAGTTGAACTATATTTTTCCTCAAATTCATAAAGAGTTCAAAGAAACTTTAAAGCGGTGGTTCTATAGTAGTCGTATATTCTATACTTTATAGTCTATAAATTCGATGAGATAGAAGGATAAGATACCATCGGCTCGTAGAAACTCGTTGCAATTTTTACGGTATTATACAATACGTACTGTTTCGCTCATACAAAGAACTAACGTGGTGCAAATTTTATTCCATGTGTATATCGCACAACTTGTATACTCAAGTGCGTCAGTAAGGAAGTCTAATCCGAGCATAAGAATCGGCTCGCGTTCAATGCGCGGGTAGGAAGATCGGCACCGATAATTCAGCGCGATATTTACGATATTTATTGGCCAGTTGGAACAATGGATCGATATTGTTTTTCGATTGGAAACCTACTGGCGGCCCTCGTGCTTTATATGCGGCGCGGTTATACCGAACGTGCGTTCCCTATGCACGTATGGTACACACGCGCGCGCGAAGCACGGATCCAGGCGAGAGTCAACCGGTCTCTTTTGTGCGCGAGGGAACATAAATAATATTTAATATGACAGTGCGAGAGGCAGCGGCGTTCTGTACGATATATTTGGTATAGAAATGTCACAGATCGCGCGGGCGCGTCTCGCTGCCAAATGCTGCTCGCGCGGAAAGCGCCTTATCTTTAATCGGAATACATATACTGAAAAAAATTCATGTAATTTTACATGAAAATTACATGTTTATGACCGGAAAATTACCTAAATATGATTGGAAATTTACTGGAAATTGTAAATTTCCAATCATATTTAGGTAATTTTCCGGTCATAAACATGTAATTTCCATGTAAAATTACATGCATTTTTTTCAGTGTACGGAAATAATTATTTAGATTTTATTTAATCAAATCGATAGCAATTCTAATATCTTTAAATATTTGCAAAATAATTTTATTATTATTATTATTATTATTATATATTGTAGAAATTTTGTGACGGAAATTTTAATGATTTTGTAGAAAATTTTCGGAGGAAATAAAATTATTTTGCAAATATTTTAAGATATTATAATTCTAATTATCTGAATTAAATATGTTTGTAAATTGTTATATAATCGATATAGAATACATTAGAATGATTGTATGGAGATCCTGGATTTGGATAATTAAATTGACGAAACAATGGTTGGACTGATTGTCGAAATGTACCGGTGAATTGGTCAAAAACAGTTTTACATGAAAATCATGGACACTTGGTGCTATGGAATGGACATCTGAATTGATTTTTTATTTCGGGAAGCGAATTTGTTTATACTAGACTAGAATAGGGGCGAATTAATTTTTAAAAGTAAAGCGATGTTTGTTGATAATGTTATATATGATATGAGGATTTACGAATTGTTTATTGTTTAATCACTGATGAAGACTTGATAAGTCGAAACGTTTGAGTTGTTTAAAAGTATACATGTGTGAAAATATATGTGATTATTATCGATCAACTATTATTGCTCGTTATTTTAAGCCTTGAAATTGTTATTTATTGAAGATATTAGAATTGCTCTTGATTTGATTAAATAAAATCTATGATTAATTAATTAAATTGATTTAAATAAAATTTGTTGCCAGCGCGAGCGTTATGATTCTGTGATATAAAATTATGAAAGAGCAAAATTCGATTCCGTAATTCGAAAGCAAACTAACGGACAAGTATTTCTTGAGCAAATGGCTAATAAATAACAGGTTGTTCTTGTATTCTCTTGAAAAGACAGAACGTGATCGCTAACCACATTGTATTCAGACTGTTAGTTTACCTTCTGATGAAATTTTGTACTAATCCATCTTGCAGTTTATCGCACGGACCAAACACTAGGCAGTACACATAATTGTTACACGAGATCGTCATTCCGTATACGATCGTGCTTAAAACATTAGCGTTGCTTAGGTCAACTAGGGGGAGACTGTTCGCGACGGTGGAATATTCGCCGATGCTAAATTTAATCCTTTACTTCTTCTACGAGTCGACACTGCACGTTTGCGACGCAAGTTTCCGTATACAGGATATACGCGGACTCGCCACGTCTTCGCGATGTTTCTGTCAAATAAATAACTTCTAAATAAACAAAGTTTCCGCGACGCATAACGGTTTAATACAGCTGCGTTTATGTACATTGCAGCGAAATGCCATACGAATCATCGTTTACCGCAAGGAAACAAATCTCGTTGATGAAAGTTCCTCGTAAAAGATGCGAAAAGTAATACCTCTCGTTGAATCGTTCCTCGCGTGACTTTTACGAGATGCACTTCTTCAAAACAGAAATATGTAATTTGTTTTTATGGAGTACTCAGGGGTAGCAGATAATTAATGCCACGCAGGGAGCTTGTTATAAACACAAATATTTTACGATTATACTTTAGAGTAATAGAAACAAATCGCGACGCTAGTGCTTCCGATTTTAGATCGATTTGGATAGGGAAAGAACTGTGCAGTCTGAACAACAGACAAATCCATTTGAATATCAAATTTGATACCGCAGCGCAGGTTATCCATAATCGTATTTAAATTAAGATCGCATAAGGTAGGTTGGTTTAATAACGGTTACTCGTGTTTTTCCCTTTTTTATCTTTTTGCCCTCTCTCTCTCTCTTTTTCTCTCTTTGCATCGTGTACCGAAGGGGAAGGAGGGCTTAGGTGCTCCCATCGGTGACGAACAATAACGATAAACCATATAATGGTTAAACGTGACAAATATACGTAAGATACGTACCTATAGACTACGGACAACTGAAGAAGAAGGCGGCGGAAGGGAATACAAGGAAATCGGAAGAGAAGCCTGCGGAGGTGGAGGGCCCCCGCATATGCATACAATTGATACAGATATACAATCGTCTTTACATACGCGTCGCGAGTATTCTTCTCTCGGGGGTTACCCGGCTCGTAGCATCGGTGCGATCACGAGGAACTTAAACGCTAACATCGGTGTTGTACGATGTCGGTACTTCGTAGGTCCAAAGCGAGGAGAGAGCCGAACGGAAGCTGTAGACCATGCCAGGTACACCGCGGTTTGCAGTATGGTGCCTTATTGCGGGAACTATTTGCGACAGAGCGGGCTAGTGTACATCTGTTTCTGTCATAAGACGTGATTTAGGGCTGAGCGTGGGCATTGGTCTTCCCGTTTTAAAGGATATCGGACTATTAATGCGAAGTTAGCGGAAAATCAATGACCGAACAGGATTGCGCGGGCAAGCTGACTTCTGCAATCAAGTAACGATAAATTTTAATCTTAATAAGAAACATCATACATTACTGATATTTTCTCGTTTCAGTCAATGCAATTTAATGTGTATGATTCATGAACTATCATCTATCTACATTGTAATAATTTTAATAATAATTTTTTAGCGTGTTCTAGTATGGATTTTGATAATTTTATCTAAAGATATATCAATTTTTTCTACTCGTTGCAAGACATGGACATTGTACAGAGAGAGACAGAGAGAGAGAGAGAGAGAGAGAGAGAGAGAGAGAGAAAATCTCTTATTAAGTTAATTCTCCAAAATTTTATTTGCTTAATTTCTATAGTTATTAAAAATGGACAATGTATTTTAAGCAATTTAATGTACATCCGCAAATAATATTAATTCAGAATTATTATAGTTTATACGTTTTCATACCTTTATGTTTATGAATATATAAAATTTCATACCATTAAACGTTTTTTTGCTGAGAAAGTTAGTTGCCGCAAGCATATATTATGTCAGATCATAGGGCGTGAACTGTGTCGGGTTCAAAATTTCTCACGAATTCTCACGGTCGTTTCAGATAACAGCTCCGAAATTTTCGTAACGTTACCTTTCCGAACTGGAGCGACGACTACCTCTCAGTGACATACTCTAATTATGCAATCAAAATGCCCGTGAATAATAATCGCGGCTCGTATAAGTTTTGGAGAGATCTACCTGCTGTTGGGTTTATCACATGAACGCTTTACAATCGTATTTCATATAGGTGAACCAGTTTAAGTACTCCGGTAGGTAATGCCACTCCGGAGATATACGAAGCGCGTATGACGCACCGGATAACCAGTTCCACGTGATTTGTGGCTATTCCTGGGCGATCCGGCCGCGATAATAAAGAGGCAATGGGGCTTGTTAGCGAGCGGGTTCAACGAGGATGGTCGTGCGCCCGTCGCATGACAGTCGACGTCATCGGCGGTTCATTTGGTGGAGATCATCATTTCGTAGCTCGTACGCCGAGCTCGTCCCGTGAGAAAATGTCCCATCGTCTCACATAATTACGGAAGATCGTTTGCTATGATTCGAGAAATGGACGATATAACCTTGCCGCTTCTGTCGCACGCGACGGTATAGCCATTACTTCTTGTAGATCACCGCGATCTAACGCGTTTTTATATTGTATTATTGGATGAAGATCGTTGCCTTTGAGTCGTAATAAAATGGATCGTGGCTAGAAATGTAATTTTCATATTATTTCGTGGAACAAGGTTGAATTTAGTTTCTATTTCTTCACAATTCCGAAAAAATAGATGAACATACATAAATCTAAATAATTTTATATATATATAATTTAATAAATTGGTCATAAATTTGAAAGAATATTTCTGAATAATTATGTTTCGATAATAAATATGACATGCTTTAAAGATTTAATTACCGATTTTATGAGAAAAAATATCATCATTTAAAAGATTACAGAAGATTATTCACCTCCTGAGTTTGTGAACAAGTTAGTGACACGTTTCTGTGGAATACGAAAGAGTTTTTTATAAGACGGGATATTCATGTAACATATGTTTTAACGGAAAAGAGGTAGAGAATATAGCACACGTAATATAATTTTTCAGAATATTTTGTATGTTCGTATTCCTATCTTATACACGGAAATGTACCACTCTGCAAATATAGACGTTCCATTCGATGAGAAAATATTTTAACACCTGGAATAATTACGAGTGATCGTTTGTCCTGTCTCTTCAAATCCCGGAATGTTTTGACTTTTGCGTAAAATATAAGAGGACCGTGCCACACTGTCGGGGATTACAATTTTAATGTACATTACAATATCGCGAATGCTTCTCCGGCTTCGCTAGGTGTACTCTTTTCAGCGGCTTTACGACCTTTTAATCTTCTTAATTTTTGCTCCTCTTGCGATTGCGAAGCACGTTAAGGTTTAGTTCCGCCACCGGCTTATTAACTATTTTGTTTTACTTTTTAACACAAAATGCATTCTTGTCGCGAATATTTATATTTAATCCTGTATCCCCCGTTTTTTCTATTCCCCTTTCTGCCGATACGTTTTAATGTAATGGAACAGACATATTATATTTACATATAATATGTCTGTTCCATTACATTAAAACGTATTATATGTACATATGCTTAGCTGCTCTATAAATATCACAATTGCTATATAATGTTATGACTAATAAAAAATTGTCAAAGAGAAATTTCACCGCATCTATCTAATTTTATTAAAAATTGTTTTTGACGAAAACAAATTATTGAAGAGCAACAAAAAGAGAATTTTAAAAGATTGATTAAATCTTAAATTCTTATTGTTAAATTTTTAATTGCAAGAATGTATGAATTTTTTAAGATTACGCGGATAATAGTTGTTTAAATTGTTGAATAAGTTAAGGTAAGAAGGTCATGATTATCGCGTTGACTCATGTTAGAGAAGTTGTCTTATTTGCATAATAACGCGCAATATGTGAAACAAAGAACTGAAAACATTAGATTTATTTAAATTTAGAATTATATTTTTTCTTTTATCTCGGAAACTATTTTGCGAATAGATATGAAACATTAATTACAACTAAAAAAACATATTTAATTATTCTATTTACAAAAAAGAAGGTTAATTTATATATTGTTAACCAATGTAAAATAAATAAGAGGTTCAATATTTAATTATAAATAAGTATCACGTAAATTAAATAATTCGCACTTAGTAATTTGAAAACGAGAGGCAAAGGATCATCGCAGAGGCAGGACGTCGCTGGCCTGGTCCTTCCACGTCGGGGTCAGTCTAGTAGGCGGTACCAATGTGGCCAGGCCTACCTCTCTTCTCTGACTCAGGCCTAACAATGGACCTGCAACAATGCAGGCACCTCGTTCTCGTCCGGACCTAGCCTCACCTACGTCCTCTTCCTCTGACGTCTGCACACATGTCGTACGTGGACACTGATACATGTTGAGCAGCTTTTGCGGTCGAGAACCGAAACCGAATATAGAGACACTACCGGACTCGGGCATCAGTCGTAAACATACTGACTGCAGTCTTGCGAACATTTGTTACACAATAAAACCGTAAATGTGGCAGAACAAAAAGATCACAAATGTCCTACAATTAAATATCAGGCAATATGGCAAAAAATCAAGAAAAAAAGGAAACAATATTATTGATAATCATAGATAGTTTTGTAAAAGATAGAGCGAATAATAATAATAAAATGGATTTTGCAGAATTACTTTATATATAAAATAGCAGAAAAAATTACATCTGGAAATATCTTTACAGATTATGATTTTATCTCTAGAAATCTGTAAGATAATGCAAGAGATATAACGATTCTTAATCTTTGCGCTTAAAAAGATTAACATATATTTAATGAAAGAATTTGCATGTATCAATGTTGCATAATAATTAAGATCGTGGCGAATCTTTTACGAGAAAGCTATTATTTACACGTAACACATAGATCTTGCCAGCCGTACGTCAGTAACGAATAGCGGGCATTAGTTAACAGGATATCAAAAAGATATCCCGAGTTAGGCCCACCAAGGAACCAAGACCCCACCCAGGCAGTCGATGCCTGCTGCAACGTCAAGAACGAATCCGTACCAAACACAATGCCTCGAACCTGAGCCTCTATCGCGATATCATCCAGTTATAAATTGGAACACAGTTTCGTTCTGGCATTATGATGTCTCTAATATGTCTTTTTTCTTCGCTGACCACTGACCAGGCTGATCTTCAGGCCGATCGCCGCTAGTATTTCTAGAGTATTCGTGCGTCTACAGCTAGATTTCTCAGCATCCTGCGGATTGATTCCGCTAGTTTTAAATTCCTTTTTGGATGGTTTATTAGTCGCTTTATACTTGACTTAATATTCTCGATTTGCATTGTGATACAGTTAATATATGTAACTATTACATTAACAAATTAATAAGAATTTACAATTTACGAAGAACCAATATATGTACATCCAGATATATTA